ATATGCTGACATGGGGTGAGTAGGTCTGGGGCGGGCAGAGTGAGGTCAGTGTCACCCAGGCGATGAAGGGAGATGAGGACCTTGTCATGAGGTCGACAGAGCCTTGTAGGCACAGTGAATGAAATATGCACGGTGCTGAGTGGACACTGGCAAGACGTGTACCGGCGTTAGGAAAGGACTGGGGGTGTGAGCCGAGGGCGCAGAGAGATAGGTCCAGACGACTCAGGGGCCTGGGAAACAGAAGCAGGGCAGGGAGGCAAGTCACTGACCCCTGGCTGAGGTGATGACCACAGGTGACCTTATCTGGACAGAGCCACATTGAGCCCCTGACAGCGCCACAGCCCTCGTAGAGCCGGCTTTGCCTGCAGCCAGAGCCTGTGGGGTTCAGGGTGATTGTCAGGGCAGTCGAGGGACTTGACACCAAAACTTATCAGTCCCATTCTTTTCCTGAGAACCTGGGATTTTATTTTTTTATTATTATTATTTTTTAAAATTTGTACCTACTTTTATTTCTTTTTTTAAAAAATTTTTATTAGTGAAACACCATGAGGTACAGTTGTAGAATTACAAATTTTTGTGCTTGGGTTTCAGTTATACAATGATCGAGTACCCATTTCTCCACCAGTGCCCATTCCCTACCTCCAATGATCCCAGAATTCCTCCCACCCCCCTCTCCCCCATCCCACCCTGCCTCCGTGGCAGGGCATTCCCTTTTGGAGAATCTGGGATTTTATTGAGGTCAAACATCCTCTTGGGGGAGAGGGATTCCTTCCCAGCAGCGTTCAGAGGCTCTGGGGACCACTCTGGGGTACACAGTTACCCGGCCCCAGTCCCCAGTGCCACATGGTCCTCCAAGCACCCAGGGCCAGCCCCAAGCTTATCAATCAATGCCAGGGCCTGATGAGGCGGGGCTGGTCAGACCTGGAGGTAAGTGCTCCCATGGCCAGGGGACTCCAGGACCATGCAGTGCTGAGGTTCGAACTCAGGTCTCAGCTCACAGAGATATCGCCTAGCCCTGTCAACATCCTTGCCAAGCTGTGATCTGAAGAGTCAGAAAGACCTGCCCTCGTGAGCTGGCAGTGGGGAGGAGAGATAGTCTTGAGGAAGGGCATGAGAATTGCCCTGTACTTTGTGCAATGGGAAGACAAGGTAAGAGCAATCCGTGGATGCTGAGGTTAATCAGGGAAGACGTTTTGGAGGTGGTGGCAAATAGTCTTGAAGGGCTAAGAAAGTTAGCAAAGAATTCATGCAAGGGGGAAACAGCCTTCCAGAACACAGTTGTGGGTTTTTTTTTTTTTCGCACAACACTGAGAGATTGCGTAGTGGAAAATCCAGGCTATCATGGGGGATGAGGTCCACAGAGAGACAGAGGGCCAGGACACACGAACCTTCATTCCAAACTAAAGAGCTCTGACTTACTGAGGAAACTACACTACAGGAGGACTTAGAGCTAAGGACTTGGATAGATGGTCAGAGCGGGTCAGAGAATGTTTATCTAGTAGCTAGTCTGGAAGCTGGAGTGTGGAGAGCAGTTTAAAAGACTGAAAAACCAGGAGGCCAGAGGTTGTACAGTGGGTAGGTCATTTGCCTTGCATGCGGGTGAACTGCGGTTGATCCCCAGTACTTCCAGAGTGGGGTGCACTGCCAGGAGTGATTCCGAAGCACAGAGTCAGAAGTAAGATTGGAGCTGGACGTGGCCTAAAAACAAAAACAGTAACAACAACAACAAAAAAGACTGTTTCTCCTCTTCAAGGGAGGAAGTCAGAGCTTCCGGCATAGCTGTCATTCCAAATCATCATCTGGATTTGAAACTGATGTGTGGTTTAAAAGACTGAATAATCAGTGAAAGAAAGGATGTATAGGGAGAGAGAAAGGAAAAGCTAATTTGATGATGAAATTACCCCTAACAGAGAGTTTTGATCTTCAACACATATAACTCAAGAAGGGTCCAGGTAGTTGTTGTTATTCTTCTTATTATTATTTTGGTTTTTGGGCTACTCCCGGTAGTGCTCAGGGCTTAATCCTGGCTCCGTGCTTAGGGATCACTTCTGGCAGGGCTCCGAAGACCATAAGTGGTGCTAAGGATAGAAACTGGTCAGTCATGTGCAAGCCCATGGTACTATCTTTTAGTCCTAGGGTTCACATAATTGACAAAGAACCAAAAAGTAGAGAGACAGTCCCTGTGGACTGCAGTTTACAAGTTAACAGCCTGGAGTACACGTGGGAGCCCCAAGGTCCATCTCCAGCACACAAGGTTCCCTGAATATGGGCAGGAGTGACCTCAAGCACTGACTCATAGGGCCAGAGTAATAGTGCAGTGGGTAGGGCATTTACCTTGCATGCAGCTGACCTGGGTTCGATCCCCGACATCTCATACTTCTGAGCACTGCTGGGTGTGACCCAAAAAGAAGAAGAAAAAGGAAAAAAAAGCACTGACTCCTAGCACTACCATGAATGACCCCACAAACCAAATAGATAGGGAGATTGCTCAAAGAGCTAGAAGTGTGTGTGTTTTGCATGGAGGAACCCTGGTTTCCTTCCCTTGTACCACATGACCTCCAGTACAGAGCTAGGAGTCCCTGAGCATTGCCTGATTGGCCCAAGCACCCAAATCCCAAACAAACCAAAAGTGACAGACTCAGACTGTCTGTCAGGGCTTGCACACACAGGCTTCTCCTGGACTGGGATTTCCTCGGCTCTCTGCATCTGCTTTGTGCCTATTTTCCATCTTTTTCTCTTTTTCAGGTTCTATGCCAGGAGAACAATTTCTTTTTTTTTAAATTTTTATTAGTGAAACACTTGAGGTACAGTTGTAGACTTACAAATTTTTGTGCTTTGGTTTCAATTATACAATGATCAAGTACCCATCCCTCCACCAGTGCCCTTTTTCCACTACGGATACTCCCAGTATCCCTCCCATCCAGGAGAATAATTTCTCCATTCTGATCTGAAATGAGTTATGACCATGCTAGATGCCTGCCTGGTCTACTTTTGGGGGCCCTACCTGGCTGTGCTTGGGGTTGACTCTTGACTCAGTGCTCAGGGATCATTTCTGGCAGAGCTCAGGGGAACATAGGAGGTACCGGGGACCAAACTCTGGTCAGCCATAGGCAAGGCAAATCCTTTACCTGCTCTACTATATTGCTTCAGCCCCGACTTTCCTTTTTCTTTTTATTTATTCATTTATTTTTTTTGCTCGAGCAGGCCCAGTAACGTCTCCATTGGAGACTTTGTTGTTACTGTGTCTGGCATATCGAATACTCTCGGTAGCTTGCCGGGCTCTCCGGGAGGGGCGGAGGAATCGAACTCGGGTCGGCCATGTTGGCCACGTGCAAGGCAAACGCCCTACCCGCTGTGCTAATCACCGTGAGATATACAGGTACAAAGCTGTTCATTATTAGGTTTCAGTCATACAATATTCCAACATCCATCCCTTCACCCAATTTCCCACCACCAATGTGCCCCGTTTCCCTCTCACCAATAACCCTCTCCAGTCCAGCCCCTACTTTTCAAATAATACATCTGAATAGTAATTCACATAGGGCAGTACAAACCCAATTTTATTTATTTATTGTTTATTTTTTGGTTTTGGATCACACCCAGCGATAATCAGGGGTTACTCCAGGCACTGCTTGGGGGACCATATGGGATGCCCGGGATTGAACCCAGGTCGGCCATGTGCAAGGAAAACACCCTAACTGCTGTCCTATTGCTCCAGCCCATAATTTTAAAGTGAATGCCGCTTCTTCAACTGCTGCCAATGGTTCATTCCAGGCTCTTTCCTGGCCTTGTCATCACCCCATGGAGCCCCAAATCTTGCCCTGTGCGCTGACCAGGTGCCTGGTGCCTGCGCCTGACAGTCCAGATCTGCCCTATCAGGCCTTACCACATGACCTTCATATGCTTATCTTCTGCCGCTATGACTTTCTCCCTGGGACCAAATTCCACTCATTCACTCTCCAAGTGAAAACATCTCCGACTCTCTGAGGTCTCTCTCTTAAGGGGAAAAAGAACGTTTCAAGCTTCTGAATTGCTGGAGTCTTTTATTCATATAGATATGTTACATATATTCGTGTATATATATGTGTGTGTGTGCGCATATGTACATATGAGCAGTGCTCAGGAGTCCATGTAGTGCAGAGGATCCCTTCTAGCAGTGCTCAGGAGTCCATGTAGTGCAGAGGATCTAATCTGTGCCAGCTGTGTGCAAGGCAAGCACCTTTACCCCTTGTACCATTTCTCCGGCCCCCTAAGTTATTATTAGAACATCCATTACTTAACCCCAAGTTGGGCCAAGGGCTGTGGGCACGTCCTGTATGTGGGAACTGGGGCTTTCATCCCTGGCACCACAGGGTCGGTCCCCAGAGCAACAAGCTGGGAATAGCCACACCCAGCTCGCTGGGCAGTGCACGTGAGGCAGGCATTACGTTGAGCACAGGGATTGGAGCACAGGAGACAGGGACTTGGTCAAGGTCACTGGGGCGATCAGTCAGTGTCACGGTTAGGATCTCACACGGGGCTTTGAGCTGTGTGCGGTGAGGTCCCAGATGCACGAGTTATGAGACTAAAAGGTGGGGGGGGAGGGAAGGCTTTAAAGCTGCCGGTAGGCCCCCTTGAAGCCCGCACAAAACTAGCCTGGGAAGCCTCCTGAGCAGCTGAAACTTAACCTGGGTTGCAGAAGGGGCCTCGGCGTGCACTTGCAAGCCCTGCGCGCAGGCGTCGTTGCGGCCCTGACCGGCCCGCGGGCCCGCCCACTGGCGGCCCGAGAAGGCGTTGGCTGTTTGTGGCACGGCGAGGCCGCCGTAGGCCGGCACGTTTCCCCGGGCGCCCCGGCCCGCGGAGTCCCGCGCGGACGAACGGGATGAGGGGCGGACGGACAGACGGCGGACAGAGATCGTGAGCGCCTCCCTCCCCGCACCCCGCTGCGGTGCTGCCGCGGACGGCGGCGAACCACCCCCGCGAGGGCCGGGCGCGGCGGGCGGCGGCGCGGTCACGTGACCCGCCCGGGTGACGTCGAGCGCGTCACGCAACGCCCCCCCGTCGGGGGGTCAGTCAAGGTCTGCGCCTGCGCCTGCGCCGCCGCTGGACCCGCGGGCCGGCCGGCGACGGGCGTGGAGCCGGGCGCCCGCGGCGATGGGTGAGTGCGGGGCTGGGGTGGGGCAGGGGCGGGGGTGGGGTGGGGGGAGGCCCGGGGCGGGCCGAGCCCCCCGGGGAGGGGGTGCCCGCGGCGACGCCGTGGACGCGCGAAGCCCAGGCGCGGCCGCCGCGGGGGACTCATTCGCCCTTTTCCGCGCGCGGGTGCGCGCGCGAACGCTCTCTCGGGTGGGGCCCTGGGCTGCGGGGGGGGCGGGGCGCCCCTGGGTGGGGGTCGCGGCCGAGAACGGGGGTGGGGGGTGCCCGGAACGAGTTTCCTTCGTACGCAGGAGGCTCCGCTTCCTCTCCCGGCGCGTCCCCGGCGCGCGGACTGCAGGAGGAGGAGGAGGAGGAGGGGGACACCGGGCCGGCCCTGGACCCCCACCCTACCTCCGGCTGTTCGCGTTTCGGGGCCCGCTGAAGCCGGTGACACGCCCCCGACGGATCGGGGGTCCGGGTGCTTTGGCTGGGCCTTCCCTCCCCCTTTCCACCTGCAGAGGGGGGAGTCGGGGCCGCCCCCCCAGCCTGGCGGGTTGCTGGGCCTGCGACACCGTGTTGCATCGCTTTGTTGCAAACTGTTGAACGAGGCGGGGGTGGGGGTTGGGGTGGGGGCAGGTGGGGTGATGGGGGGTCGAGCTCAGCGAGGTGGAGCCTGCATGCCCCTTCCCCTCCCAGCCCCCACCGGCGGCCTCGATTCTTGGGGGATTCTTGGGGCGGGCATCCGCTGTGTTCTTGGCCCCCGTCGGGCCGTGCCGCAGCTGGTCCCAATGCCCATCACCCGTGCTGCGCTCCCTCCCCGTACGCGGTCCGCGGGAGCCCCTGACGCGCTGGAGGCGGGCATGACCCTGGCCTTGCTTCTCTGCAACCTCCGCCCTTGTTTTGAAAGGCTTCCCCTCCCTCGGGTCCACGGACGAAACTTCCAGAGCACAGTTTTTTCTTTTTTGGGGATCATCTTAGCGTGTCTCGGGGGAGGGGGAGCATTCACCGAGCCGTCAGCGGGTAGAGGGAACCGCCGCCGGACGCTGCTTCCTGCTGGATTTCCAGGTGACAGGTGCTGTGATGATCGTGCCCAGGACTAGAGTCCAGGCTGATGCTGCTGTTCCGAGTGCTGACTCAGGCCGGCCCGCCTTGTGGAGGGTTCCTATCCTTGGCGAATTACAGTGGCCTTCTCCCCAGTTCCTGTGCGCAGAGCGAGGCCTTTGGCCCGAGATCACATCCCTGGGTCTTGCTTATCCGCCTGCCCTGTCAACTGCAGCGAAGTTTCGATGCTCCGCTTTTCTTACGCCACAAAAGTTTGGTGCCTGCAGGTGCCCGAAAGGCAGCCTCTTGAACTTTGCTTTCTAATGTTGAGACACGGGGTGTTGTAGGTGGCAAGTGCAAGTTATGATTGGTCAAAGTGCAATCAATGGCAGGGAATCACTATTTGGGTTGAAGAATTGAAATAAGAGAGGTTGGTTTTTGGAAAGAAAAGGCCATGTGCACGAAATAGATAAACTTTTGAACTGTCTCAACTCCGTTTTCCCGCAGGCTGTATACACTAGCTTTTCTGTTGCTAAATTAAGAAACTACTTAGGCTGCTCTGGGGTGTAGGATGAAAGGAGAGGGAAAACTTTATTTTTATTTATTCTTGCTTTTAGGGTCACCCCCGGCAATGCTCAGGGGTCACTCCTGGCTCATGAACTCAGGAATTTACTCCTGGCAGTGGTTGGGGATGCTGCGAATCAAACCCAGGTCGGCCAAGTGCAAGGCAGATGCTCTGCCCACTGTGCTATTACTCCAGCCCCAGGAGAGGGAAAACTTTTTTTTTTTTTTTTTTTTGCTTTTTGGGTCACACCCGGCAATGCACAGGGGTTACTCCTGTCTCTGCACTCAGGAATTATCCCTGTCGGTGCTCAGGGGACCATATGGGATGCTGGGAATCGAGGTTCGGCCGCGCGCAAGGCAGACGCCTTACCCGCTGTGCTATTGCTCCAGCCCCAGGAGAGGGAAAACTTTAAATCTGTGTGTTCCATAGCTTTCTTCTCTCCTGGGCCACGTCGTTTTATGTGGGAGCCTGGGGTACCAGGGGTGCTGGGAGAGTGCTCCACTGCTAAACCTCATCCTTAGCCCTCAAACCTTTCTGGTTTTTTTTTTTTTTTTTTTTTTGCTTTTTGGGTCACACCCGGTGATGCACAGGGGTTACTCCTGGCTCATGCACTCAGGAATTGTTCCTGGAGGTGCTCAGGGACCATATGGGATGCTGGGAATCGAACCGGGTCGGCCATGTGCAAGGTAAACGCCCTACCCGCTGTGCTATCGCTCCAGCCCACCTTTCTGTATTTTTAATTGGTGGCTCAGTATTCTTAAATTATCTTAAAATAGTTCAGCAATACATTGGCCAGTAAGTCATTAGCCAACCCTTTCTATTTGTTCTCTACCGAATACGATTGCAAGCTGGGTTGCTTGTCCCCCATGCTGTTGGTGGTTGTGCTACTCCCAAGTTGGTACTTGGGGGACCAGGTGGTGCCTGGCTGGCACCTGGGCACCTGCAGGCAGAGCCTATGCCCATCCCATTGCACCACACAATCATGGCAGATCTGTACCATTAAAAATATTTGTTTTTTTTCTTGGTGGGGGGTGTGTGTGTGAGGAAAATTGGGGACACTGGTGGCGGGAATTGTGGACTGGTGAAGGGATGAGTAATTTTTCCTCATGGTGATTCAATAAGAAAAAAATTAAAAATATTTTGCGAACAGAAGTGGACATGATCATTATGTAAGGCTTCGGGGGAGGGGCTGCGTGGGGCACTCCTGGCTGCAGTGCTCGGAGAGGGAACCTGGAGCTTGGGGTGGCTTCCAGCATCATGCAGAGCCCCTGCTCAATCCGATGGCCACCTCTCGGCCCTGAAGCTTCTCCGTAACGAGCCAGGTATTTCCGAGAAAGGCTGGGTGTGATGGTTAACAGGCAAAATAAGGCTTGATAATGGAGCCTTGACAAATTGGGTGAAGTACCTTTAATTTGAAAAATATGAAAAGCAGTTTAAGTACTGTTTTAATAAAAATATGAATATGGACAAGTTTGGGGGTCTTGGACCACACACAGCAGTGCTCAGGATTTACTCCTGGCTTTGTACACAGGGGTCCCTTCTGGAGGGGCCCTCAGGACCATCTGGGATTGAAGCCTGGAAGGCCGCATGCAGGGCAAGTGCCCCCACCTGTTTTCTCCAGGGACTATGGACAAAATTTTGTTGCTCAGGTGCATGTAGGTGTTTGGGAGGAGGGGAAGGGCGAGTTTGTTTTGCTTTACTTGGAGTTACTCAGGAGCTACTCCTGGCTCTGCCCTCAGGAATTATTCCTGGGGATGGCTCAGGGGACCATCATATGGGATGCTGGGGCATCAAGGTAAGCTCCCTACCTGCTGTACTATTGCTCTGGCCACTCACGTGCAATAATTCGTAATTTTTATTATCAAGGAGCACATATTGTTAAAAGTAATAGGGTTCGATTTGTAGTTCGGTGTTCAGGAAATATGAACTTAAACATGAAAGTTTAAGTTGTTACATTGTGTTACTGTGTAATCATATATACATTTGGTCTGATTTAATTTTTTTTTTCTTTTTGGGTCACACCTGGCGATGCACAGGGGTTACTCCTGGCTCTGCACTCAGGAGTTACTCCTGGCGGTACTCAGGGGACCATCTGGGATGCTGGGAATTGAACCCGGGTCGGCTGCGTGCAAGGCAAACACCTACCCGCTGTGCTATCTCTCCAGCTCCTTTTTTTTTTTAATTCTGATTTTTTTGTTTGTTTTTTTTTGCATCACACCCGGCTATGCACAAGTGGTTACTCCTGGCTCTGCACTCAGGAGTTACTCCTGGCGGTGCTCGTGGGACCACATGGGATGCTGGGAATCGAACCTGGGTCAGCTGCATGCAAGGCAGATGCCCTACCCACTGTGCTATCGCTCCAGCCCCTATTCTGATTTTTTTAAACATTGTTTAGTTCTGAAACTAGAAGAGCAAAGCATAACAGAACTGTAAAGCATTTCTAAGCCAGTTGTATTTTAAATATTTGTTCATCTCGTCTCTGTGGCATCTTTTAGGGCTGGAGTACATGCTGTGCCTGCAGTCGCTCTGATGCCTGCAGCCATCCGGAGCTCCAAGCTGGGAGTAGCCCCAAGGCAAATCCTGGTGTGGCCAAAAAAAGTCCTCAAGGGCTGCAGCAATTGTAGGGTGCTTGCCTAGCATGCAGCTAACCTTGGTTCCATCCCTGAGTTTCCCCAAGCCCATCAGGAGTGATCCCTCAGAGCAGAGCCAGGAGCAAAAAAACCTGAGCAAAAAAAAAAAAAAATTTTTTTTTTAACTCAATGTTTGTTAAAACAGTGAAAGTAAAGATGTGGATGACCAAATGATTAATGTTATCAAACTCCATTCTCTAGCAGATCCCTCTACTATTTACAGAATATTTGTTTAAAATATGTAAAAATGTGCATAAATATATGCTATATAAAATTTATGATTTTTTTTTTGTTTTTGTGTATTTGGGGCCACACCTGGCAGTGCTCAGGATGACTTCTGGCTCAGCACCCAAGGATCACTCCTGGTGAACACTGGGCACTGTATGCGGTACCGGGTATTAGACCCAGGTTGGTTGTGTGCAAGGCAAGCACCCTGCCCACTGTACTATGTCTCTTGCCCCTATATGTGAGTATATTAATGTAGTTAAAGTAATACTGTCTTTAAATGGTTAAGAACACAAAATGTAACACATCTGTTTGAAACCAATGAAAAAGCTGAGGGTTTGTCTTTCAATTCTCCCCAAGTCATATATGTGCTACTTTACCTCTGTAGAATCTGTATAAACTTGGGTCAGCAATGTGCAAGGTAGCGCCTTGCTCACTGTACTTTCTTTGGTCCCCTGAACTTGTATCTTGAATTCAAAAAAGCAGGTATTGAAATGTGAACTAACACAGTCAGCAAAAGAGTAGTAGTTTTTCAAATTGAATATTTGGGGCCAGAGAGATAGTACAGTGCGTAGGGCACTTGCCTTGCACACAGCCAGCCTGGATTTGATCCCTCGCATCCCATATGGTCCCCTGAGCTCAGAGCCAGGAGTAACCCTGAACGTCATTTTGGTATGACCCAAAAACCAAAAAATAAAATAAAATTCAGCTTTCATAATAAGGGAACAGAAGGTCAGGGGCCTTAGGTATATTGGGGACATGGAGAGTGGTATAACTCTCTATCCAAAGTACAGATACCCAGAGACTATAAAACCTTGCTCCTGGAAGTGCGCGGCCACATTTGCGCCCGCGCAACATCTTGTTTTCTAGATCTTACTCTGCAGAACCTGGCAGGCTACCAAAAGTATCCTGCCTACACGTCAGAGTCTGGCAAACTCCTCACGGCATATTCAATATGCCAAAAACCAGTAATAATGATGGGTCTCATTCTCCCGACCCTGAAAGAGCCTTGAATGTGGCACTTTTTAAAATCTCAGGGCTAGGACAAAGGAGACGTTACTGGGGCCTGCTCGAGGCAATCGATGACCAACAGGATGACAGTGATGCAGTGATCCAAAGCACAGATTTAGCAGCACTGAAAACATGAGATCTAAGCTACAACCACCGATCTTTGAAATGTGCCTGTCAAGGGGGCAGGGTGGGGCACTGGTGGAAATCCAGTGTTGGGATCTTGTGTACATGAGACTCAACTGTCAGTAATTTTGTGAATCATTTAAAATAACATTGCCTTTTTAAAAAATGAAATAAAATTGAGTCTTCAGAGGCTGCGAATCACACGGCGTACTCTGTTGATTGCTTAAGTACTTTGAGGGTAAGGGAGGAAATCTGACTTCTAGCAAAATTTATTTTTTACTCTTTAAAAAAAAAATTTCAGGGGCCGGAGCGATAGTACAGCAGATAGGGTGTTTGCCTTGTACACGGCCGACCTGGGTTCAATCCCTGGCATCCCATATTGTCCCCCAAGCACTGCCAGGAGTAATTCCTGAGTGTAGAGCCAGGAGTGACCCTGAACATCGCTGGGTATGACCCAGAAAGAAAAAAAAAAAGATTTCATTTTCATAAAGCTGTTCACACTAATTGTCTACATTCAACAGTTCAACACCAATTCCACCACCATTATACCGTCCTTCCACCATTATTTTGAATTTTACCACCACCACCCAAGCCTGCCCCAAAGGCAGATGCTAAATAATTTATTTTGTATTGCTTGTTGTGAATTGTATGGGATGTTATGCAGCTGCGGAAGTGGCCTAGCGCTCCTAGAATTCTAATTTTTTTTTTTTTTATATTTGTGGTCTGATGGCATCTCTTTGGCATTATGCTTTCTTCTGAGGTTCATTTGTGAGTCTCTGAATCATGCCCGATAATGAGCTTAGGTGGTGTCCTGAGGCAGTTCTTGGGCGTGACTGCCAGGGACCCAAAGGAGTTGGGAGATGGGGGGGGGGAGGTCACCCATCTCGTACTTCTGGGGTTTTCAGCTGCTCCTCCCGCATACCTCAGTGTTTTAGCCGATTCATTCTCATGCATGAGAGGCTCAAGACAAGTTGGGAAGGTTGGCTGTGAGCATGGAGGCAGTTGGGTTCTGGAGGTCTTCGGCTGCTGGGGTTCATTTGGGGCAGGCTGAGGGACATACCTGCCCCTCTCCCAGGTGCCCCAGTGAAATCAGCCTGGTGCGGGGTGGGGAGACATCTCTGTTAATGCACTTAAATGGCCTGATTTTGATCTATTTTGAGATTTATTTATGGGTCTCTGAAGCAAGGCCAATATATGAGCTTGATTAGCTGAGCCGGAGGTGGTTTGTGGGCGTGGCTCCCACACACCTAACTTTTGACCGTTTAATTTCTGAGGGAAACTTCGTCCCAAGTTGTTGGGGTCTGGCCAGAGGCACAGCGGCAATTTAGAGGTATCAGGAAGCCTGAAGGCACCATCAGGCACAGGTTGACCTCCTGGGCAGCACTATACCCACAAAAATTCTTTTCCTGAGAGGCAAACCAAAACTCAGTCTGCAGGGCCCAGAGAGATAGTACAGTGGGTACTCTCCTTGCATGTGGCCAATCTGAATTTGATCTCTGGCACCCCACGTGGTCCCGAGCCCGCTAGGAGTGAGCCCTGAGCACCTCTGGTTGTGGCCCCCCCAAAGAAACAAAAACTCTGTAAGCCACAGAGACTACAACTGGATGTCAGAACTACGACTTCTCTTATCTATGCCAGAACATTTATAGATCGTAATCACAGGCCCACATTTTAGGGCCAGATAGAGACATTCAGAACATTGACTGCTGTTCCATTTTAATTTCTTTGTTGTTTGCCCCCTCACTCAATTGTTTTTCTTTTTTTGGTGGGGGAGGGCGCACCCAGAGATGCTCAGGGGTTACTCCTGGCTCTGCACTCGGGAGTTACTTACTCCTGGCGGTGCTGGGGGACCCTGCGAGATGCCAGGGATGAAACTTGGGTCGGCCACATACAAGGCAAGTGCCCTGCCCACTGTCTTATTGCTCCAGCTCCTCCTCCTCCGTCTGATGTGGCGTGATTCTGCAGAACAGGCGCCTCTTGCGTCCGTGGCTGCTGTCCTCCTGTGGTGAGACAGCCCTGCAGTGGGCTTGAGGGCTTGGCCACCCTGTCTGTTGCCTAATTGTTCTCTCACCGATGAAGGCCAGCTGAAGGCAGGCTGCAGGGCTGGCGTCACAGGTCTGGGAAGACAGTAGCCAGAGAGAAGGATCTCTCACCCCAGGGCTGCTCTCCTGACTGTCAAGGGAGAGGACCACGGGCCGCTCAGAGCCGCAGCGGGCTTGGGCTCTGGATAGGGCTGCGCCTCATCCCATCTCAGCGTCCTGGGGGCCAAGGAGAGGGTACAGCTGGTGAGCTGATTTGTCAGTGAGACCAGAATCCCCCTCCAGAGCATCATTTTTGTTCCCGGGCCCCACCTGGCAGTGCTCAGGGGACAGTGCATGCGTGGGGATCAAACCCGGAGTTCCCCCATGCACAGCGTACAAATGTGATGCTGCTCTTTGAGCATTGCCGCTGTCTGCAGTAGAAAATCTTGTGTTTTGTTATTGTTTCTGGGCCACACTTGGTGGTGCTCAGCAGCTACTCCCAGCTCTGCTCAGGGACCATGCATGAGCTCAGCCCTCGCTCCAGCTCTAGTGCCTTCAAGTAAGAAAAAAGTTTTATTGAAAAGAAAATGTATACACTCAAATTACTAAGCAAAAGAAAAAAAATTTTTTTCTTTAAGCATCTCAATAAAATGACAGGAAAACAGTGACAAAGCAGGAGGAAAAAAGATAAGAGGGAACTGGAGAGAGAATGCAGGGGTCAAGGCACTGCTGGCCTTGCAGGCTGCCCCCTCTGGTTCAGTTCTTGGCACTGCGTCTGGTGATCCCTGAGCACTGCTGGGTGTGACCTCAGAAGCAAAGAAAAAAGAGTAGAATTGGTAAATTTATTAAGTTGGTTCTTTGCCAGGATGAGAGGCATATCAATTAAGTAAACAGACTGCCCTGCTCAAGGAAAAATGGATTATGCATACCAAAGAGTAGAAGTAATTTCTAAAACAGCAAGTGCTTTCTGAGGCTAAATGAAGAAACTCGGACTTTGTTTCTTACAGGAAATCCAGTCGTCAGAATTGACTCCCGAGGAGAGGCCCTAACCGAGTATCGATGGAAGAAACTGGAGGAGTTCTCCAACAGCTGCCACCCGCCCAGACACCAGGGACAGACGGTGTTGCAGGTGAAATCTTGACACCTTTAAGGAATGGAGCATTTTGTTAAGGTTTCAATTTACCAGCATAGGGAAGAAAAAAAATAACAATACTTTTTATGAAGACAGTGGAATGTTGACACCTGAACTTGGTGTGAAGCTAGTACTAAAATTGAAAATTTGATCCTTTTTTTTGTTATTGTTTTTTTTTTGGGGTCACACCCAGCGTTGCTCAGGGGTTATTCCTGGTTCTGCACTCAGGAATTATTCCTGGCGGTGCTTGGGGGACCATATGGGATGCCGGGGATCGAACCCAGGTCGGCCGCATGCAAGGCAAACGCCCTACCCGCTGTGCTGTCGCTTCGGCCCCCAAAATTTGATCTTTTATGACTAAAGGTAAAGGTAAAGGCCCTCCCGTTGATCGTCGATTTGCTCGAGCGGGCCCAGTAACGTCTCCATTGGAGACCTTGTTGTTACTGTGTCTGGCATATCGAATACTCTCGGTAGCTCGCCGGGCTCTCCGAGAGGGGCGGAGGAATCGAACTCGGGTCGGCCATGTTGGCCGCTTGTAAGGCAAATGCCCTACCCGCTGTGCTATCGCTCCAGCCCTTTTATGACTAGTGATGTGAAACTTTCAACATAGTATAGAAAGGGAGTGGGTGAAGAGTACAGCAGTTAAGGTGCTTAGTTTGCATGTGCTCAACCCAGGTTTGGTATTTGGCACCACATCTGATCCCCTGAGCACTGTCAGGAGTGATTCCTGAGCACTGCTAGATGTTGCCCCCAAAACAAACACCCACAACGTGTGTGTGTGTGTGTGTGTGTGTGTGTGTATAAATCTGTGTGTATTTATACACATACCTAAATATATTAGCAAAAAGTATTTTGGATACAGTACTTTAATTTTTAAGTTAAAGTTCTCTTATATTAATCTTGATCAATTAGGATTTGTCTCCAAATTAAGAGACCATTTTACAAAAAAATAAATTAAATGCAGGGGTTGGAGCGACAGTACAGCAGGTTGGATACTTGGTTTGCACGTTCCTAACCTGAGTTTAATCCCCAACACCCCGGGAGTGTGGGGCACAGCCAAAAGCGATCCCTGAGCACTGAGCCAGGAGTAACCCCTGGGCATTACTGGGTGTGACCCGGAGAATAAATAAATAAGATCAAAGGAATATGCCATGTATATATCAGATAGAAGCATCACACTTGAGAGGCAAACTTGAAACCTGTGGTCTGGGTGAGGCAGTGCTCTCTGCCCGCCCCGCGCTGTGCCCAGGGGTGAGAATCTGAGATCCACCGTTCTGGCCCCTCTGTGGGCCCCCCAGATATTTCAGAAGAGCCACGGGTGAAAAATCACATAAACGGGGGACCGTGCTACAAGACTAGGGGTCAAATGGTGGAACCAGGGTGGCCACAAGAGGGAAATAAGGTGGGAACGGGGCCAGGGTCAGCAAAAGGGGCAGAGGCAACTCTCAGTGACATTTCTGGTTGCTGAAAGTGTGTTGTTAACTCAGTGGCCTAAGAGGTGGGTGATCTCCATATTTTACCAACAGTGACACAAGGCCATGGAGACCTGAGTGACTTGCCACAGATTGTATTGCGTGTGCATGTGTGTGTGTGTTTGTGTGTATGTGTGCGTGTGCACAAGGTAGAGCTAGGATTTGAATCCAGGCAGTGTCTTGTAATTCACGTTTGGCGAATTTCATCTTTTATAGCCACATGGTATCCCAGTAGATAGCCAAAGCATTTGGTCAAGATTCCAAATCAGAGTCCTCTGATTTAGTGCCAGCGGAATGGGGTGGAGGTAGCTGAACTTTTTTTTCATAAAAAGGAATACATGTATTTTCCATCCTCGTATTGGAAAACTTTATAAAGGTCATTATCAGTTGATCATTAGTATTAGAAAAATTAAATGCATTTGATGGGGAAGTTTAAGTACAGTTCCTTGTAAATAATAGCAAAACAGGAAACCATACCAAAACTTAGTTGGAGAACTGTGAGTAGGCTCCAGAGAAATGGTACCTAATATATCCATCCCATGTGGTCCCCCGAGCATCACCAGGAGTAGTTCCTGAGTTCTGAGCCAGTCGTAACCCCTGAGCATCATTGGGTATGACCCAAACAAACAAACAAGAAACCAAAACCCAAATACATTGTTGGATAGTTTGCTTTTTGACTTTTGGACCACACCCAGTGGAGGCCAGCGCTTATCCCTGGCTCTGGGTTTAGGGATCATTCCTGGAGATACTTGGGACCATCTGGGATGCCAGGGATTGAACCCAGATCTGCTGCATGCTAGGCAAACACCTTACTTGTACTTTTGCCCGGCAGTTTGCTTTTTTTTTTTTTTTAAATATTTACTCTGTGGTTTTAAAATGGTAGCATGGGGGTGGTGTAAGGGAGTGGGGGTGATGAGTCCGACTAAGGCAGAAAGGGGCGTCTCCCCCTCTGGCCTGAGCTCCAGAGAACTGAGTAGTGGCCACCTGAGGAGAGGATGACTACATAGTTAACTGACTTACGGTTTTGTGTTTCTCTGAAAACTTGTGTTTTTAATGTAGAGCTTAAAAAAACCAACACCTCAAAAAAACCCCCCTCTCTTCTGTAGGGAATTTTGAGGGGGAAGGTTTGGGCCGCTTTTGGCCGTACTCTGGGCTTCCTCCTGTGTCTGCTTAGGGCTCGCCTGTGGCAGGCTCAGGGGGACACGGGACAGCCAGGAAAGGAACTCACAGGAGTCGCTTACAAGGCGAGCGCCCTCCCCGCTGCGCCAGCTCTCTTACCCTCCTGGGTGGGTTTTGACTAACTCCATTTACCCAGCAGTCTCTGCAGTTTGACCCCGAGGAATCTCTTGACAGGTGATTCCAGGCTCCTATTTCTTTGCAACCTGCCAGGATTGGAAAGACCTCCTTTCCCTGAACCGTGTCTGACATGAATTATCCAGATTTCAGTGGGCCACATTTCTGGGCACGTGGGGACAGGCTTGTGGCTTCTTCCTAGTGCTTAACTGCACTCAGATCAGGGCCCCCTGCTGCAGCCGTCAGTCAGGGAGGACTCTCTGATTAGCCTGCACTGGGGTCAGTGATTTGCCTGACTCGAGTGCTGGCAGCGGGTGGCTGGTCAGGAGAGAGGGTTCCTGACCCCTTTTCTCGTCTTCCTTCTTGCCAGCAGAGAGCACCCTTGATTTGTTTTTTCCTTGTTGTTTTGGGGCCACGCCCAGCAGTGCTCAGGGGTACTCCTGGCTCTGCATGCAGAAATTACGCCGGGCAAGAGTATCACGCTAAGTGAAATGAGTCAGAACGAGAGGGACAGACATAGAAGGACTGCACTCATTTGTGGAGTATAAAATAACATAACATGAGACTGACACCCAGGGACAGTAGATACAAGGGCTAGAAAGATTGCTTCATAGTTGGAAGCCTGCCTCATGAGCACGGGGTGGGGAGGGGTGGGGGGAGAGAAGGCAGCTGGAATAGAGAAGGGATCACTAAGAAAATGATGGTTGGAGGAATTGGTCGGGATGGGAGATGTGTGCTGAAAGTAGATAAAGGACCAAACATGATAGCCTCTCAGTGTCTGTATTGCAAACCATAATGCCCCAAAGTAGAAGGAGAATATAGGGAATATTGTCTGCCATGGAGGCAATGAGAGGGTGGGAAAGGGGGGTATACCGGAGATATTGGTGGTAGGGAATGTGCACTGGTGGAGGGATGGGTGTTTGATTGTTGTGTGATTGTAACTCAGACATGAAGACTTTTAACTATATCTCACAGTGATTCAGTAAAATAAAAAATTACTCTTGGCAGTGTTCTGGGGACCATAGTGGGGGGCCCAGGGACGGAATCCAGGTGATCTGCATGCAAGGAATGTGCCCTACCCGCTGTCCTATCATGCCGTCCCCGTCTTGTCTTTTGTAATAGAATCCCATTGGCAAGACACTTTGCATGCCAAACAGAGGTCAGCTACACGGATGTCCCATTTTCTTAGGTTGCCTCTTCTGGGAAAAGGGCACCCAGATTTGCGTGTGCTGTTTGTGGGAAAGGACAAGTGGCAGACCCCTCTAATTTTTCTTCGAACAAGTAATAAGAAAGAATTTGTTTTATGCCTTCTAGGGGGCAGGGGGAGGGAAACTGGGGATATTGGTGAAGGAAGATCACTCCACTGTTGTGGTTGGTGTTGGGACATTGTATGCCTGAAGCAGCTATATATATTAGTCTTGTAAATCACAGTGGTTTCTTTTTTTTTCTTTTTGGATTACTCCTGGCTCTGCACTCAAGAATTATTCCTGGCGCTGCCCGGGGCACCATATGGGATGCGGGGAGTTGAACCCAGTTAGCCGCGTGCAAGGCAAACGCCCTACCCGCTGTGCTATTGCTCCAGCCCTAGTAAATCATAGTGTTTTAATAAATTAAAAACAGAAAAAGAATGAATGGCAGGACTGAGTCAGAGGGTGGTAGGATTTCCCGGGCGTCTCCCTCATTCAAATCCCTTCGCACTCAATAAAGTTGCTGCTGCTCTTTTGTCCGGCCTCTGCTCTGCCAGGACACACCCCACCTTCAAGCCCAAGGCAGACCTCTTCAGTGTTGGACATCTGCCCAGAGGGGTGTCTGACCGCACGGTCCCTCCAGATAGCCAGTTAGTTGCCCTGGTTCCTTGTTTTGTTGTTTTTGTGTGTTGTTAGGGGCCGTACCCAGCCATGCTCAGAGCTGACTCCTGGCACTGCACTCGGGGATCACTTCTGGTGGGGGCTGGTCCTCTGCGTGCAGAGCCAGTGCCCCTCCCCGGTACGATCATTGCAGCCTCTACCTCCCCCACAGTCTTTAAGAACAACCATACTGTCATCACGTGGCTGCATCTGCTCACGTTCTGTTCCCTCCGACACTGCCTTTCTTGACACATTTCCCTTGACACTTGTCACTCGGGGTTCGAGCACAGGCGTCCTATTGTGCACGTGGTGACATCCAGGGAAGGTTCCCACGCGCGCTTCTCTGGTGATCACGGAGAAGCACCTTTGCATAGGCTTGTCGGTCATTTGTGGACATTGTTCCAGGACAGGTTGAATCAGACTAGGGAGTGACAGGCCTGGAACATCTTGCCCTTGTAAGGAAGAAAATGTCTTCAGGGTACATGATTTTGCCTTTCAGATTCCCAATTTATTTGGCCTAACAACCCCCCTTCAGAAGAAAAAAATAGATATATACCTGTCCAGAGGGGTTTTATACACACACACACACACACACACACACACACACACAACTCAGGGATCTTTTGAACTCCACCTGTATGCACACAGGTCTCCCCAATTGTAATAAGGCCACTACTGCCCAGTCCCATCGTCTCCAGTGCCCCCCAAGTGGGCCAGGAAGGGCCACTATGGGAAGCACTGAAGTAGGTGGATCCTAATGCTTTTGTACTCCTCATCTTTTCCACATGGCCCTGGGCTCTTCTCATGAGAATGGGCGCATGGGCCCTGGAGCTGGACTTAAGGACCTCAGCCCCCCCCCCCCCGCCCCCCCCGGACTGCTTTGGGCAAAGGGTAGAGCCCCCTTCTGCCTTAGTGACATGGGGGAGATACTGCCTGATTTAGGGGGCTGTCGTGAGAGTGAACACCTTGTTGCCCGTGTGTGTGCCCCACCCACCAGTGGTTCTTGCCTGAAGGTGTTTTCATCAGCACCAGCATCAGCGTGTTAACTACAGGAAAACACCAGCAGAGCACATACCTGCCGGCCTTCCTAAGCCCCGGTCTCCGTGCCTTCCGCTCCAGCAGGAATGGCACGGACTCCTCACGGACGTGATCCCACTGTGTGATGCCTCCTGCTCTGAGTCCCGAGCGCCTCACAGAGGCCTAGTTTAGAGCAGTTGCCCCGGAGAGTCTTCGTGGGTAGAGTGAAGGGTTGGCTGTCTGGCTGCTCCAGTTCTCCTGGGAGAACTTTGAGTCTGTTCCAGAAGGTTAATTATGTTCATGCTGCTAGGTAGTACTCTCAGACCAATTCCAGAGGTTTCAGATTTTTCTGGTCTCATGACCGCTGTCTGCTTAAGTGTTAATTGTAGATGCCAAAGAATCTTTGTGCAAGTTAATAGTCATGGTCTTAAACCTTTTGAAAAAAGAAGGAAAAAAAGTTAAATCTGGGGCCAGAGTTAGTACAGGGGTTAAGTCGCTTGCTCTGCACACTACCAATCCCAGTCCGTTCCCGGCACTGCTTAATGGTCCCCGAGCACTGCTAGAAATAATCCCTAATCCCTGAGCACTGCCATGTGTGGCCCAGCCTCTCCCTCCCCCAGATTAAATATGTATTAATAAGCTTTGAAATGACATTACTTGGGCCGGAAAGATAAGTCAACGGACTGTAGCGCTTGCATTGCATGCAGAAGCCCCGGGTTTGATCTCCGGCTCTGCGTATGTTCCCCTGCCAATTGATACCCAGAAACCAACATTAAATAATAATTTCAACCTGTCATTTATTTAATTTGTAGATTAAAAATTCTTCATGAAAAAGGAAGCCCTGAAGCATCATGATGGATTCAGAAGCTCATGAGAAGAGGCCGCCGATCCTGTCCTCGCCCAAGCAAGAGCTGTCCCCTCACATCGCGAGCGTCACTGAGATGAAGCACTACTTGTGCGGCTACTGTGCGGCTTTCAACAACGTGGCCCTCACCTTCCCCATCCAGAAGGTTCTCTTCCGGCAGCAGCTCTACGGCATCAAGACCCGGGACGCGGTTCTCCAGCTGAGGAAGGATGGGTTTCGGAACTTGTACCGCGGCATCCTCCCGCCACTGATGCAGAAGACCACCACGCTGGCACTCATGTTCGGCCTGTACGAGGATTTGTCCTGCCTGCTCCGAAGACACCTCCACTCCCCGGAGTTCGCCACCCGGAGCCTGGCGGCCGTCCTCGCAGGTACCACTGAGGCGATTTTCACTCCACTGGAAAGGGTCCAGACCTTGCTTCAGGACCACCGGCACCACGACAAGTTCACCAACACTTACCAGGCGTTCAAGGCACTGAAGTGCCACGGGATTCGCGAGTACTACCGGGGTTTGGTGCCCATTCTCTTCCGTAACGGCTTCAGCAACGTCCTGTTCTTTGGCCTGCGGGGCCCCATTAAGGAGCACCTGCCTGCCGCAGACACGCACAGCGCCCACCTGGTCAACGACTTCATCTGCGGAGGCCTGCTGGGGGCCATGCTGGGGATCCTGTTTTTCCCGGTCAATGTGGTGAAAACGCGCATGCAGTCTCAGATTGGTGGGGAGTTTCAGTCGTTCCCCAAGGTGTTCCAAAAAATCTGGCTCGAACGGGACAGGAAACTCACAAACCTCTTCAGAGGCGCCCATCTGAATTACCACCGTTCCCTCATTTCGTGGGGCATAATTAATGCGACTTACGAGTTCCTGTTAAAAATTATATGAAAGGAATCACTAGCTCCGTGACATTTTATCAGTGCAGTAGACAGTTCTAAGGAGAATGCAATTTGGCTTCATTCCTAATTGGCAAAATACAAGTTGGTGTCTTAAGTCCAGGACACAGTGAATTACGGGGGCACAGCTCTTTTCCTGAAGCACCAACAAGTTCAGAATAAAAGGTTTCAGGAGGAAATTTTAAGGGTTTTGTTGCCTTTTTTTTTTTTGGTCGGAATTTTAGACCAACTGCCTGGTTATCAATGTCTGTATGATGGGCTTTGCCAAGAGACAACCTAGTCCCCTGTCTTTGCTGAACTGTGTTCAGTTAGAGATCAGACTTCCAGCCCAGAGGGAGATGCCTCAGGCTTGCTTTAACTACTCCAGTGCTTGCCTCTGCCCCGAGGACTCAGAGGGCAGTTCCTGTTAAGCTTAAGCATCGCGGTAGGACCGAGGAGCAGAACACAGCAGTAGAAGCAGCTTCTTAGGGAGAAATCACTTCTGATAACGAATCGCTTGCCTTTGTTTTGCTCAGAAAGCCCCCACGGATAGTTGGGACCCGCTCTCTCTGTGTAGAAGTGCTAGAATCGGGCAGCGAATGGTATCGCCTGTCGAGTTCTGAATGTGACCTTAAACCTTTTCGATCTGCTTCATTGTCAGAACATGGGGAGACTTGAATTTGCAGGTTTTTTCCCCCCTAGAAATTCCCCCCCTAGAAATTTCCTATAAATTGCTTACAGGGTACTTGGACTCTGTTTCTTTGAATCGTTGCTGCCAAACGAGCCAAGTGCTTTGCATTTCTCCCCTTTGATAGTAGTTGGTCGTTTCAGGTGTCAACTCTTGGAAAACACTTTGATGAGATCTGTTTTTTGGAAATCCACTAATAGGATCCCACTTTCATTATCTTCCCCTTTCTGGTTCCTTAAAACAAGGGAAGGGGTGAAACCACAGGATAGCTTTCACACCTGTGGGGATGTTGGCTGTGCTTGTTTTGCTCGCGGAAATGAATTCCGGTCGGCAGTCTTAACATTGTGGGAATGCCGTTTACCGCTTCATCATTAAAACAGTAAACCAATGAAGATGCTGGGAAGGTTCACTTTAAGTTCTAGAAATTGGAGGGCAGGCTCACTTCTGCCTGACAGACACCTGTTGGTGACTAACGCTAGTGGAGTAAAACCCACACGTCATCCTCGAGAAGTGGCTTCTCACTGTCTGCAAAGCTGCACTTGTAAATACTAGACGGTGAAGATCACATTCCAGCATCCGACCTGGCGGACACGTCCGGTCTCTCACGCCCAGGTTTCCGTCGTTCTGGGTAATCGCATATAAACGTGCTCATGCTGACCAATCAGAGTCAGGCTTTCTGTTGTTTACTCTGTTTCTGGGCCGGTGGTCTCCCCCAAAGAGTTACCTCTAAATCCCCAACAGCTGGTCAGAGCAAATGAGCATCCTTCCGGCAGTAGCGGGTTAGGCAGCGGCGCCAGGCAGTGAGGAAACAGCTTTGCAGCAGCTGGAAGCGGCGGTTTACTCTAGGAACCTCCGTGCAGGTGTGGGGTTTTCCAGAAACAAACTAGCACCAAATAAATGTGAGTAGCATCCTTTGGCCTATGCCATAGTCGGGTGTGAAGTGGGTCAGGTTCCATCGGTGACCTGGGCACTGCGGTGCTTTCATACAGGCGGGTGTGTGTGGGCCTGGGTGTCCCTGAGTGTTCCCAGGTGTGAGTGTGTGTGTGTGTGTGTGTGAGTGACACCCCCGCTCAAGCAGGTGAGTGATGCTGGGGGTCTAGGGATGGTCTCTAGGGGCCTCCCTTTGTCTCTACACTCCACGCTAGTGTTAGGAATCTGATTTCTAAGGCACTTAGGTGAAATCAAAATGAAGTGAGGTTGAAGTGGCGGGTGGGGGGGGGAAGGATGCCTTGGTTTCTCCTGTCTCGGATACTCGGATATGTTGCTTTTTTTTTTTTCTTCTTGTAGTAAACCAAGTTTATTTGACCTAAATTTCAATCGCTACAATCATACTCTAGCTCTGTGAGCATTTTTTAGTACACTTCCTGGAGACTAAGGCGAGGCATTCATCAAATATGTTGCTTTTAAAAATAATAAATATTTTTAATGGTTTTAACTCAGAAACTTTGGCTTTATTTATCACTTTTTACAGCTTTTGAAGACCAAACCACAAATACTTTACCAGGGATGGTTGTCTATTCGTAGACCTCTTCAGTTAGACAACAACAAAAAAATTCAGACTGGTGGTTACAACAGCTTTGTATGAACTTTAAAAGTAGCCAAACCGTATTCGTAAGTGATTCAAACTTGTTTTTACGACTTCATTGTGAACTGGTGTGATGGTAATTTTGAAAAGTCAAGATGATGGAATAATCTTATCTGAAAAGCTTTACAAGTGGCCTTTCTGTCACAGACGGGCACAGAGGCCATTTTGGGTTCTACATTTAACATAGTAGCTTGAGCCCCTGGGAATTCCGCCGAATCAAACACAGCCTGTATGGGGAAGCCAGTTGTCTTCATATTAAATTTGTGATCGGAGACAGTTGATGCTTTGACTAGGCAACACTCACGTGAGTCTTCTGGTGGGTGATCTTGTAGTTGGATCTATAATCCCCTGCTCTAGCTTAGGAACTGGTGCAATAATAACAGTTGTGTGTGTAGTTAAGACTTAGGGACCTGAAAATACATCTACAATAGAATCAGGACAGGCCGCAGAGAGGTAAGGGAGTATTGGGTGGTGGACAGGAAAGGGCCCCGGGGTGGGGACTTTACAGAGCTGATTGGGTTGGCCCATGCCGCTCAGCAGAGGGAGAATATTGTGTGCAGGCCCCATGGGCAAAGGAAAGGTGGGACGGGCCACTTTGGAAGGAGAGTGAACACTCGGACTTGGTTTCTTCTAAGGTACGAGCAGTCAGGTTTTGTCCTAGGGGAAATCAGGGCACATCAGAGACTCAAAAGGTGGTTTCCTCACTTTTGAGGATTTTCGGTTTTTAATGCTCTTTAATAAATGCTTGCCTAAGTGGCTTTCAAATTGTGCCGGTGTCGGCGTTTCCCCTTTTAAGGTTTCATCATTAAAAGTGGGTAAGAACACTCAGCTGTTTTTGATATACTGAGTTTTGTGACTTGAGTTTTGTGACAATGAGTTAAATGAAATCTGTTCAATGTTTCAGAGTTACATGCTTCTCTCTCTCTCTCTCTCTTTTTTTTTTTTTGGTGATTATGTGGAATAAAGTTTTTTAAGTCCATTCTATTTGGTCTCTTTCCTAGCACTAGTGTCGTACCTGGGTCTGGGTGGTTGTTGGTTTGGAAATTTTCTTCCCCTTTTGTTCTTGGGCAACACCCAGTGGTGCTTCTGGCTCTCTACTCTGGGCTCGCTCCAGAGCATACGGGGTGCCGGGGAATCAGGAGTGGAACCTGTGTTGGCCGCATCTAAGGCAAGAGCCCTCCCTGGACTATCTTTTTGACTCTAACCGTGCAGCATTTTGTTCCTAAAGCTTTATCTCGCAAAATAAACGTCACCGAGGATGCGCTGTCTTGGTGATTCCGTTTATCAGCCCTTGCTGGGAAAGGTCTTCCAGGCCATTTACGTCAACTCCAGCGTTTGTAGTTGTGTTTCTTCATCATCTGGCAGCTTCCGTAATAGTGCACTACTTTGTCGTCTACTACTACTTAGATCGTGATGAAATCAAGCCTTAGAAGAAATTGGAGGAACTGGAATGATAGCAAAGCACTTGCCTTTCATGCATCTTACCCAGGTTTGAGCCCAGGCACCTGAGTCCCATCAGAAATGATTCCTGAGTGCAGAGCCAGGAACTAAACCCTGAGCACTGCCAGGTGAGGTCCCAAGTGCAACCATTTCTGTTGGTGCAGTCTGATGTGACATCCAAGCATGAAACACCCGTGTTACTCCCTGGCATCAATGGGTTAATCCCAAACTGGACGGCTGTAGTTTGGTGCTGTGTATTAATCCGCTGCGTATAAATTCACAGCGAGCGTGGGTTCTGTTAGTGCGGCTCACCTCCCGCTCGGGCAGCACAAGTTGCCAGGCACATGGTCCCAGCACAGCAAAAAGGAAAAGTTCACTTGGGGTAGTTGGTAGGTGTGTGTTCATATAACAGATCGGAAGCCCGCCCTGCATTCCGTGGTCTCAGGCGGCTTCCCCACCCTGGCCTGCAGCTGCTGCCAACAGACGCATGAAGGAGGGAACAAGGCTGCCAGGCTGGTTGGTAGTCAGTTGCTGTTTTTCCCATCCTCCCCATGCGCCTGTTCCGGTCTCAGGGAGCTCCCCGTTCCAGTCTCACACTGCCCCTCATTCCCATCTCCTGTCCTCCAGGCTTGTCTCTGTGCTCTGACTCACCGTCCTGGGTTCTCTCCTTTCCCTCCAAACCTTGGCGGTAGTAACCACACCCAGGTCTGGTAGCACAATCAACATAGGAAAGCCCCTGATCTCCAGCAGCCAGGGCTCAAGGGGAAACACCACCTAGGGTGTTTCTTAGTCCAAGAGCCCATTTACCCCTTAATAATAATAGTTATTTTGTATGGACACAGTAAGAGATACATTAAACTTGTTGGGTGGCTCTCCTGGGGGCATCTCACTATAGATCTCAGACTACAGTGCTTAGGCCAGATTAGTTTTTCCTAACCCTGGCAGGGTTCGAATCTAGTTATTACTTTTTGGATCATGACAGAATTTATCCATGATCATGCTCTTAACTTACAGTTAAGTATTATAGCGCTTTGACCAGGCCCATTTTGATGCCAGGGTAGCTCATGGCTTTCCCTGGGTCCATCCAGTCCTTCGTTGGGACCCTGCTTTTAGGGTGCTTGGAAGTAAGGGCAACTGAGGCTTAAGTCGAGAGAACAGATGCCCAGGAGTGAATATTATGTGGGGTCAATTAACCCGCAAGTTACAAAAGCATAGCATTAACTATCTTCCTGTGCCTATACAAAAAGGACATTGCTCTGAAGTAAAGGACTTAAGGAGAAGAGAAAAGCAGTATTTATAAGTTAACAGTCTGATTAGGAGGTAAAGGTGATTGATTGGTTGGGGAAGCAAAGTATAATGAAAGAGGTTACAAATAAACATGGAATGGGAGCACTGTGATGGGAGTAATCCAATAAACCTAAGCTCCCCATGGCGAGGCAGAAAGGACAAACCAATGTTATCCTACAGGTAGGTAATGCAATTGTGACTATCCTGGGCTCTCTACTTGGGAGGGATCATGTACAACGCCTGGACTCTTAAGTCATATAACCACAGCGGGGTTAGCCGGGAAACTACTTGCATTCCTGTTTTTCTTGGGGTGGGGGGGAGACAGACCCTGGTTCCAGCTGAATCCATTTAGTATCTGGAGTTCTGTGTAGACATTTTCTGGTGGTTGGGGATCCTACCTAACCATGCTCAGAACTTAATCCTGGCTTGGCTCAGGGATCACTCCTGGAGGGTCTTAGGGGACCAGATGGGATGCCAGGGATTGAACCTTGATTGACTGGGTGCAAAGTAAATGCCCTACCCTCTGTACTATCTCTCCAGCCTCCTAAAGTATGGAGATGCTTTAGAGTAGCACATATTAGTTTAGGGCAGAGAGAGGGAATCTATACCTGTTGGTGCTCTGGGTTGCGGGGCTTACTCCCGACTCTGTGCCCAGGTGTTGCTCCTGGTGGCACTGAGGAGATCCTGCAGTGCTGATGATAAGCCCCACTGCATGCAAAGCATGGTCCTTAGTCCACTAAGCATTCTCTCCAACCAGTATTTTAGTTTTTGGGTTTTGGGCCCACAATTGATAGTGCTCAGGTGATCACTCCTGGCAGGCAAGGATGGAAACGGTTGGCCATGTGCAAGGTAGTCTTCCTACCTGCTGGACTATCTCAGCACCCAACTTTGGTGATTGTATTCCATCCTTTTCTGTCCTTCTCTTCATTCTTGTGATGGTTGGGCGCCATGCAGGCCATGGTGCTCATTAAGCGTTACACTCCTTTGGCTGAAGTGTTTGTATGTGTGCTCACTGGGACTCGCACTCTTAGTTGAGGCTCACGGGCTATGGTTGTGTTGCTCACGAGAAGCCTCTCAAGATGTGTTTTTTTTTTTTTTTTTGCTTTTTGGGTCACACCCGGCAATGCACAGGAGTCCTGGCTTTGCACTCAGGAATTACTCCTGGCGGTGCTCAGGGAACCATAAAGGGGTGCTGGGAGTCGGGTCAGCCACATGCAAGAAGGCAAATGCTCTACCCGCTGTGCTATCGCTCCAGCCCCCTACCTCTCCAGTATTGACACATGCTCACCAGGGTCACACTTCCAGACCCTGGTGCTCAAACACCTAATTTAAATTGTGATACTTTTGGGGGTCACAGCCCTTTTTTGTGGTGCTGACATACACCTCGCTGCCATGTGGCTATACTCCTGGGGAGTCACAGGAGTAAGCGCTGAACACTGTCAGGTGTGACCTACACCCTCCGCCTCCCCAGTAAAATTAGTTAAAAGCTTGTAGAAGGTGGTGTTTTAATTTTAGATTTTTGAACACATTTGAATAGTTTTCCATGAATATCTTTATTAGAAGGTGAAAGATACTATTATACATTGATTTTATGTCAAAAATAGTATCTATGCAGGTTCAAGCTGCATAATCTGAGCCGACCGCCAAATGAAAATGAAGACCCCTTGCTAAAGAATTCCAGGATAGAGCCAGAATGATAGTACAATGGGTAGGTAACTTGCATATTGAACTGGGTTTGACCCTCTCACCGTGGTTCCCTGAGCTCCGTCAGGAATGGTCCCTGGATGCAGAGCTGGGAGTACACCCTGATCACCGTGAGTATGGCCCCAAAACAAGACAAAAAGGATTCCAAGATAATTTCAGCACAGGGTAAAAAGGTCTTTCTCGGTGCTGGGTCCTATCTGAATGCACCTCAGACACCCATGACGCCAGCCCAACATCCAAGGTGAATTCAGTTACAGAGCTATGGACTACCAAGACCTTAGTTATGCTGTCCCTTGCATCCCTAGTACTGGGCGAGGCCTGCAGTCGGCCTGATGTAGTCATTGTTGAATGACAAAGTGAGTCTTGGCAGGTTTCCAAATCAGAAATGCTTCGCTCTTTGTCTTTGGGCCACTCCGGGTTGGCTGCATGCAAGGTGAGTGCCCTACCCACTGTCTGTCTCTACTGTCTCTACGGCCCCAGAAATGCTTAGCATTTTTTTTTCTTTTTGGGTCCCACCCATCGATGTTCAGGGGTTACTTCCGGCTCTACACTCAGGAATATACTCCAGTATATTATCTGGAACACTTCCAATTTCCTAAAAATTTACCAGAAAGCAGAGTTTGCAAAAGGAAGATTGCAGTAAAATTTAAAAGAAAATTTAAACCTTTAAAACCTCCAGAACCTTTAATGTAAAAACCATGACATCTAGATGAGAAACTTAGAAAAGTTGCACTTTCTAGTTTAAATGCTTTGAACCAGATTTAAATTTTAAAAATTATCTTATTATCGCGATGCTCAGGAGTTACTCCCAGCTCTGCAGTCAGGAATTACTCCTGGCCGTGCTCAAGGGATGATTTGGGATGCTAGGGACCGAACCTGGGTCAGCTGCATGCAAGGCAAACACCCTACCTGCTGCTCTGCCCCCATGTCAGAACATATCTTACCTGAAAGAATACATTCTGTTCAGCGTCATAATAAATGATGGTTTCCTCTTGTGCTGTGTAACTTGTACATATTTTGGCTTTGTGGGAACTTGAGGTCACATACACTAAAAGTTCATTTGATTCAATCAACAAATTATTTATTGAACAACTACTCTGTCAGATCCTGTCCCAGGCACTGGGAATACAAGAATAAATAAGACAGTCCCTGCCCTCAGGAGCTTACAGTCTAGCATAAGAACACACAGCACCTTAGAACCTTGTGAAAAACTTTCTGGTGTCCAGTATATTATCTAGAACACTTCCAATTTCCTGAAAATTTACCAGAAAGCAGAGTTTGCAAAAAGAAAGATGCAGTAAAGTTTAAAAGAAAATTCAAATACTCAACCTTTAATGTAAAAACCATGACCTCTAAATGAGACACTTAGAAAAGCTGCACTTTCTAGTTTAAATGCTTTGAACCAGATTTAAATAAAAAGTTATTTTATTATCGCTGGGTGACATTTTTAATTTGTGACATTTACATACACACAGAGGAGGTGCATGTATTCCTTGAAGTTTTTGGAAAATCCACTTACATCACTAATTCATTTATAACTACAGAGAACAGCATACAGACAACTTTGAGACTTTCCTTTTGATAGTAATATTCATCATGATGTAAGTAGAAACGGTGCTTAGAAAGCGTTTTTTGGGCACAAGGTTTGTTACAATTTTATTTTGCAATGAAACTAAACTGGGATTTTTGTAATAGTAGATGATTATATATTTAAATGGTCATTGACAAAGTTTAATGACATCAAAAATACTCTTTAAAGTCTAGATTTTATTTTTGTTGTGTTTCTCCCCCACCCCACCCCCACCCCCCACACTCTTCTTCATTTTTTTTTGTTTTTTGTTTTTTGAAAGCATAAAAGACCCCTGTACAAATACAGAGCCTTTGTTGTTGCTTTGGTACTTTGCTATTTATTCCTTAATCTAGCAGCATACTTAGTTTGTAAGATTCTACTTAGTGGCAACTGAAAAGTCTCTAGCCTAGACTTAGCTGGGAACTTCTGGTGTCCAGAAAGTATTGTGAGCTGTGGGAAAGGAGTGAACAACCAAAAGAACGTCTCAAAGAACACGTGCCCAGAGCCTGTACAGCTCTTCAGACACAACTCGGATGTGGCTGTCTCATGCCCCAGCTCACAACAGATGAACACAGCACTTAACAGGACATGGGAGCCTCCAGGAGCTGGAGACAGGCCTACTTATTAGGTGGTAGGAGACAAAACTATTTGGCAGATATACATTTTTTTAATTAAAAAAAACAAAACAGCAATATCTGAGGCAAATGATTTATGTACCTCAGGGCCAAGAGAATTACTTTGTAATAATTGATATTAATTCATTTTTGTGTAGCCCTTTATATTTTATGAAGTATTATATATATACACACACATCAGAGCTCATTGGGTTTTTGTAACTCATTATAAATATAGTTTTTACTTTTTCATCATGACAAAGTGAATGACACTGGACATGCATTTAAATAGAAGGCAGGGAGGTATACTAACGTCTGAAAGACTTGCATCAAAAATAATTACAAGTTTTAAATTTTGGCACTTAAGAGATATGCATTAGTTATTCAAAAATTCACATAATATGGTTTCCTTCAAGACCAACACAGGATGTTACTGAGTGAATTTCCTAAGCTCTCAGTGACTGCTGGTCATTAAGTGGGGATGATTGTCATCGGTTATCAGACTATGTCTCCTGCGTTCAATACAAGCTTAAGATATACTTATGGGTGCCGATACCAATATTCCGACTAGTATGGTAAATGCTAAGCAGCTAAAAGGTCTAAGTGTTTTTCCTATATTGCACTTTCTAGAAAACAACTTGATACATCATCTTGGTTCTCTCCGCAGGAGTGGGGAATGTGTGATTTGCCCTTTTTTGAAATTTTTCCTGTTAGTATTCGCTATGCCATAGTAACAAGTCTCACAAGGTTACTGGGCCCGCTTGAGCAAATCGATGGACAACAGGAGGACAGTGACACTATTTTCCTAATGAATTTCCTCTTTGTTTTCCTAAATTTTTTGGTAAAGCCTCTTCTCAGGGATGTAACTAGAAGAAATAACAAAATGTCTCTGTTCTTTGGGTTTCTGAGTTTTTAAAATAAACTTGTTTTAAGTTTCTAAAATAGACTTGTTTTCCGCCTCAGCCACTCCATTTCACCACTGAAAATGAAATAGCACTTGATGTTCCTGAAATCACTCCACATAGCATTATCATACTGTTCTGCAGAAAGCCTTTTAAGACAGAAGTATAATTTATATTAAGTTTACCATATTACCAATTATAATGCATTTGCCAATTACCATGAATAAAAATGACTGAATAAAAACATCAGGTTAGATTTTTATACTCTACGTGAAATGGGGCCTCAAAATTGTAAGATGCAACCTCTTCCACTGTGATCGCATCCCTGATGTCCTTTAATTCCTTGATTACTATTCTCTGGTGACATTTTGATTGTGAAGGTGCTCACTGTGCTTTGTGGTATATATATGTGCTCAAAGAGGACAAAGGTCGTTATGTTGAGTTTATCAGATCTCAATTTTATTGATTATTCTTGGGAGTGCTGGGGATGGAACCTAGGGGGCCCACACCCGCAAGGCAGGCCCTTACTGCTGAACCACATCCCTAGCCCCTGTTAGTTTTCAGTTCTCATCTGTGGAGCTCTAATTTCATACTTATCCTTGACTTCCTTTATACATACTTTGAGGTTTTTCAGTTAGTGATAGACTCTATGTATGGCCGGCCTATAGCTTATGATAGTAACCCTAGTAGGAACTGTCCATCTTGAAAGTATTCTTTTACATGGCGAAGGTCAGCCAGCTCTGTAATAAAAGAGCTCCCAGAGGATTCTAAACATGTACATCACAGGCCAGTGTTTATGTACAAACTAAAGGGCCAAATGGAGTAGCGAGCATTAGACATTGGACCACAACAGACCGAGCCTGAGTCCCAGTGCTGCCACCAGCTGGCCACGCTCTGACTTCAGGCCAATCACTGAAATCTTCTGACCCTCCTTTTACTCAAAAACTAGTGCATTCTCTTGCTCCCTTACGTTGCAAGGATTTTGTGGGGGGTTAGCAGTACAGTGTGTGCACTGTCTGACCCGTGATATCCCTGACAGGGATTCGAGAACTAGAATCAGACTGAATTTATCGAGCTGGGGAACATGTCAATCCACCATGTAATGTGAAGTCCTCTTTAAAGGGGTGCAATTGATGAAATTATTTTTATCTATACAGAAAATGAAATTTTCTTTTATCAGTACATATTTTTAATAATTGCTTGTTGTGAATTATACAAACAAAAAATAGTTTTTGCCTCCAAAACTATTTCTTTTAAATATGTATTTTTAAAATTTATAGTACTTCCTGCTGGTTTTTCACTGTGCTTTGTGGTATTACATATATGTATTTTTAGTTTGGGGGCCACACCTGGTGGTGCTTAGGGCTACTCCTGACACGGGTTCGATTCCTCTGTCCCTCTCGGAGAGCTCAACAAGCTGCTGAGAGTGTCCCGCCCGCATAACAGAGCCTGACAAGCTCCCGGTGGTGTATTCGATATGCCAAAAACAGTAACAAAAAGTCTCACAATGGAGCCGTTACTGGTGCCCGCTACAGTGACAGTACTGCCTTAACCTTAAACTATCTCCCCAGTTCCTGAGGAAATTTTTTTTTAACAATTACCTAATTTTTAACATTCTGTCCTTAGAGCCCACATTGTTCCAAGGGAGACGCCACCCATATAGATGTGTGTGAATGGTCGTTTCAATAGGTCCTACAAAGAAATACCTTTTTTTTTAAAAAATTCCTCCCACCCCCCTTACTTTGGGGCCAAACCCATGGTGCTCAAAGGCTGCTCCCGACTTGGTGCTTGGGAGTTACTCCCGGTGGTGCTGGGGAATCACGCGGTGTCAAGGATCAAACCAGACCTCCGCAGGCAAAGCATGCACTCCAGCCCATCAAGCTACTTCTCTAGTCCCAAAATGTCATTTTTATTCATGTACTTGGTTAAATTTTTCTGTGATATCTTTAAATGTTTTTTCCTCCGATGGCTGAAATTCCCAGCATCTAGTTCCAGGCCTTCCTATTTAATCTACTGCTTTAAAGGGTATTCACGATAGTACAACTAAATTCTTCAAAAATCATCGTTTTAAACCAAGAGAGTATATACAGTACGAGTTGCCCTGAGCAAGGAATGAGGGGACTTGAATTCATGTTCTGACTCTGCCACTGTTTTACAGGAGGGCCTCAGGCAAACCACTGTTCACACTGGTCAAATAATGAAAATGAGGCCATTTCCATTATCTTTAACCGCTCCTGTCATTTACTTATTTATATTTAAAAAAATTTTAATGATAGAAAAACCTTCTGGGAGTTGTGTTAAGCACCTGGTGGGTACAGAAAGTTTGTTTTTTTTTTTTTAAGTGTTACTTTTCCAACTGTGGGCCAGGATCACTGGAATAAAGATTACTTGGGATTGGTTTTCTCCCTAGCTTAAATTAGAACCGCCACAATGATCCCCAAGAATCCCAATGATTTGAATGTCCCCTAATGTCTGAGAACTACCTGCCTTAGAGAATGAGATCTGAGAGGGAAGGTGTGGCCCGCGGTGTGTGTTGACTCTAGCAATCCCTTCTGAGCTCAACGCCCTTCTCCGAGGGGACTGGAAAAAGGCCGCTCCCCTCAGCAGACCATCCGCCCCGTGCCGGGGCCCTGCTCAGTTTGGCTGAGTCACCGTGTTCCGAGAACAGCACAGCAGAAGGCTTCAGATTTGTTCTTGTTCTTGGTCTTGACATTCAAGTCACGAGTCATCTCCCCTCACTAATGAAAGAGAGTTAAACTGGCGCTGTGGGTATACAGGAAGAAAGATGAGTTGCAGAGGCTCTTCTCCCTAACTTACCTCTCCATCCAAGACTAGAAAACATCACCAGGTATGAGTCCAAGAAGCTGGCAGAGAAGACAGAAATCTAAGTCACTTTGTTCTCATCACTCTGAGGCCAGGGAGAGTACTAATCTAATAAATAAATCATTTTCTATACAAAAGGAACGACCAAAGTCCATCCCTTCTCCACTTTTCCTTTCTAATACAGTCAATAGGATCAAAATACCAAGTAAGGATACATGCTGGGAGTTTTTAAGTTCATTAAAAAAAATTACAGAGAGGTGGCAATCTTTTTTCCCTAGAATTTCACAACAGAATCCCTCTTGCTGGAAAAAAAAAATTGACAATATCAACAGAAAAAAAGACATTTTGTCTCCAGGCTATCCAACAGCAATGAGAATGATGCCATTGTCTGTGCTCATTGTCAAGAGATGTAATAGCAACTGTAAAGGCCCAATGTACTGAGAAGCCAAGATAAAATTTCTTTTATCAACAGCCAGTGTGCCGGTATCAAACCTCTGGGCTTTATTCAACACTACCACAACCTAAACTCCTGCCAAACGTCCGTGAAATTCACACTGAAACAACAACGAAAAGGTAAAAGTCATGAAGAGAAGTCAATCTGACGAGAGTCACCATGCAGAGGAACCGGAGAGCTGGGGTCCGGTGGCCCAGGTCGCAGGAGCACAGGAATGCTGCAGACGTGGCCGTGTCGGAGGCCGACCCGGCGACGCCCCCACAAAGCCTCACGGCCGCGCGCTCAGCTCACAGGGATGTACGTTCGTGGACCCACAAGAACCAGGATCGTGACCCAAACTTATTAGATCTTCTACAAAGAAAATACTTCGGCTAAAACTGAAGTAATTTATAAGTCACATACCAGAGCAGTTCCTTGTTTGGATGTATTGTTGTGCCTAAAACTTTGGCTGATACAAAGAAACCCGTCCACTAAGGCACCCTGAGGCAATCTGACAATGTGTTGGAGAGAATTTCGTTGTCAGGACCACGTCATTGTGAGAGTACAGAGAGCGGATGACCCGCAGGGCACTGGCTTCTTTGGGCAAACAGTCAATAAGTTCACTGCATTGTTTGTCAAATCCCAACAAGCGAATCCCATAGCCGTGCGGGGAAGAAATCATCCGCCCATCTGGGCTGAAGCAAAGTTCCTTGATGTAGCCCCTGCCTACGTTAGCTTCTTCGATGTAATGAGTCAGTCGCAGAGAACAGCGAGGGGAGACGGGTCGCACGGGGGCCCCTTCTTGGAATTCATAGACACAAGTCCACTAGAAGCAGAGAAGAGAAGCAAATCAAAGCTGTAGCCTCCCAAACAATGCCATAATGGTATTCCTTCATTTGTTCTTTGTGGGCCTTTTGGGTCACACCCAGCGATGCTCAGGGGTGCTCCAGGTTCTGCACTCAGGAATTATTCCTGGTGGTATGTGGGGAGATGCTGGGGATTGAACCCGGGTCAGCCTCATGCAAGGCAAATGCCCTCTCCATTGTGCTATCACTCTGGCCCCTATTCCTTACTTTTTAAAACAGACCACTGAAGTCATTCAAAATTGCCCAAACCAGATTGTTGCATGAAATTATTCAGATGAATACTATCCCTGGTAATAAAATTTGTGGGTCCCATAAGCTAAGATTATTCTACAACAGTTTTGTCTTTTATTATTTTCAGGCATGTTGGCTGACACCTGGTGGTATTCAGGGGTCACTCCCAGTAGTGGTGGGGTTGGGGGCACAGACAGTACAGCAGGCAGGACACTTGCCTTGCATGCAGCTGACCCAGGTTTGGCCCCCAGCATCCCATTATGGTCGCCTGAGCACAAGTAGTTTCTGAGTGCAGAGCCAGGAATAAGCCTTGAGCGCCACTGGGTGGGGGAACAACCCCTGCCCCCCCCCCCCCCCCCAAAAGATACCAGTGGTGCTCAGGGGACCATATGAAACTGGGAATGGTACTCTGCAAGGCAAATGTCTACTCCCTGTACTATCTCTCTGGCCACAAGTCTTTTATTCTCTAAGGCCACTGTAATCGCTAAATGATAATTCCTTTTCCTGACAACAATAACCTTGGCAGACAAAAATTCTAGGTTTAAGACAGTCAAGCCCTAGAATGCCTGTACTGCACAATTCCAAAGCTCTTCTCTAGAACTAATGCCATCCTCAGAAGACGCCTGCTCTCCAGAGTAATGACGACAATCATCTGAGACCCCCCCCCCCCCCTACACTTTCACCTTGTTTTTTCACTTGTTTAGTTTTGGTTTTGGGGCCACAGCTGGCAAAGTTCAAAGTACTTGTAGCTTGTTGCTCAGAGGTCACTCTTGGTTGCGCACAGGGGACTATGTGTGGTGCCAGGGATCAATCTGAACCTCTTGCATGCAAAGCATGTACTCTACCTCACTGAACTCTCTCTCTCTCTCTCTCTCTCGCTCTCTCTCTCTCTCTCTCTCTCTCTCTCTCTCTCTCTCTGTGTCCAATTTTTCCTGGTTTTAAAAAACTGAGAAATTAATTTTTTTTTGTTTTTTGTTTTGGTCACACCCAGCAATGATCAGGGGTTACCCCTGGTTCTGCACTCGGGAATTACTCCTGGGGAACCATATGGGATGCCAGGGATTGAACCTGGGTTGGCCACCTGCAAGACAAATGCCCTACCCGCTGTACTATCACTCTGGCCCGAAGAGCATATTAAATTGGCTTATCAAAATTTCACCTTTACCATCACTGGGTGTGACCCAAAAATCAAAAGCAAAAAAAAAAAAAGTTTCACATTTAGCCAACTTGGCTGAAATTTCTCAATTATGTTTGCTATATGCTAAAGGGCTTTACTTAACATTGAGAGATAAAGGATGCAAGAATTTAGAAGCTGGTACTTCCCAATGTGCCATACTCAGGCTGGAGTGGAGGGAAGAGAAAAGATTTTTGTTTGTGTGTGTATGTGTGTGTGTGTGTGGTGAAGAAGGGGGGGTCTATAAAAACTGACAGTATTCAGGGTTTACTCATGGCTCTGTGCTCAGGGATCACTCTTAGCAGGACTCGGGGTGTTGGGGATGGAACCTGGGTTGGCCATGTGCAAGGCACATGCCCTAACTGCTGTACTGTCTCAATGGTCCTCTCAAAGGAAAAGGGCTTTTAAGGGAGACACAGCCCGGGCACACATGGCAGTGGCAATCTGTGAGCCCTGGGGAAGGCGAAGGGCTGCCGTCCATACCTCCTGGTCATCAGTATTGCTTGAGCACCGGAGAAGAGTGGCCCAGCCTTTTGGGTGCAGCTGTAAGGATGTGATGCAGTTTCCACGGTCTCGCTCACCAGGAACTTCCGGGGTTAAGACTTCAAGACTGTTCCGTGGGGAAACTCCTACAATAAAGAAAGTTAAAAGGTGGATACTTGTTTGCTCCAAAGAGTAAGACTTTGTTACTCTTACTCTGAGTAAGCCTCATCAGGGCTTTGATTGCTGGCAGCCACCCCAGCAGTGCCTTCATTTATACTTGTCTGCTCCTTAAGACACCACATAGGAAAGAACATAATACCCCTCCATGGACGGGGTGGGAGGGGGGCGGTGACAGTGTCCGAGGGGGAGGTAAGGGAAGGAGTATGACCAAAGAATCCAAGTTCCAGCAGCAGGAATCATCAGGGATCTAAGACTTACTAGATGCTTTTTTACTTTGGAGCAACATCTAAAAAGCTCTTTAAGTGGGAATCCAAGTTCCATAACCTGAAAGGGATCTAGAAAATAAAGGGCAGTTTTTTTCTTAAATGAACTGGTGCTCTTTAGACCAGAGAAGGAACTGCTTAGAAGCCATGAAGACTGAATATTTTGGTAGGTTTCTTTTTGTCCTGGGTCACACCCAGCAGTGCTCAGGATTTACGCCTGGCTCTGCACTCAGGGAGCACTCCTGATGAGGCTCAGGGGATTATAGGGGATGCCTGATGCCAAGGGTCAAACCTGGGTCGGTTTCGTGCACAGCAAGCGCCCTACCTGCCGTACTACTGCTTCAATCCCTCAAACGAAAGTGGTTTTTTTTTTATTATTATTTTTACCACACCTGGTGGTGGTGCTCAGGGATTGCTCCTGGCTCTGTATTAAGGGATCACTCCTTGTTGGATCTGGGAGGGTGGGGGGACATGTAGGGTGCCCAAAGACTGCATTTATATAAATAAAAGGCTAGGAACTATGGCTCCCAAGGAGAGTGCTAAATGTAACAAACAGACCTTTAACTTTGGAGGTGAGGGAGGATAATCTCATAAAGGGGTACATGGAAACAAGAGCTGGAGAACACTATTAGCATATTCCCATCAATTTCCTTCCACCTAGCCCTCAGTGAAAATCACTGCCAAAGGAAGTCAGTATTACTAATATCATATTCCTTACAAAAGTTTTTTAAATTTATTTTTAAATTTAATTTAATTTAATTTTTGTTTTGTTTTGTTTTTTTGGTCGATAGCACAGCGGGTATGGCATTTGCCTTGCATGCAGCCAACCTGGTTGGCCCAGGTTCGATTCCTCTGTCCCTCTTGTAGAGCCCGGCAAGCTACCGAGAGTATCTCGTCCGCACGGCAAAGCCTGGCAAGCTCCCCGTGATGTTTTCAATATGCCAAACACAGTAACAACAAGTCACGCAATGCTACTGGGCCCGCTCGAGCAATTCGATGAACAACAGGAGGACAGTGCTACTACAGATAGTGCTACTGTGCTTTTTAGGTCACACCCCAAAAGGAGAGTCTGCTAAAATCTCAGGGCTGGGATGAATGGAGATGTTACTGGCGCCCACTTGAGTAAATCGATGATCAAGGGGATGACAGTGATACCGTGGGTCACACTCAGCAATGCTCAGGGGTTACTCCTGGTGGTGCTCGGGGAACCATAGGGATGCTGGGGATTGAACTCGGGTCAGCTACGTTCAAGGCAAACGTCCTACCTGCTGTACTATCGCTCTGGCCCCTAAAGTTTTTAAATTTATTTTTTAAAATTTTAATTTTTATGAAAACATTGTGATTTACAGAATTGTTGCTAATACAGTTGTTTTAGTCATTTAGTATTTCAACGCCACCAGTGTGACCTTCTCTCCAACAATGTCCCGTTTCCCTCCCAACCCCAACCTGCCCCTTAGACACATAACAAACTTACTGTATGTTGCTTGCTCCAACAAAATTTAAAAGAAATAGCAAACAGAATGCTCAGAAAACAAATGCGAAAGTCAATTTATGACTGCTATATGATTTTCACCTATGTAAATAAGGAAATTAAACCATTTAATAAAATGCCTATTCTCATTCACATAAGCAAGTTTTTAACTCTGGCATCTAAAGTATATTGCATCAGATCTTATTTTATACTTGGAAATCTCATTATGGTAATAATCATGTCTTACGATCATTAATAAACTTAAAAAAATTACAAACCTTCAAAGGTTAAAAACTTAAAGACATCACAGTTTCCATATCCAGAGGAACATGGCTAAGCTGTTTCTTCTCCGAACCAGACGCTACTAGTACAGAAAAGAAAACTAGATGCAAACTCCAACAGGGATGTGGAAGCCCAGAGATCTTGGTCATGCTTTTGAAAATGACGACTGGCTGACAAGAAACAGCCTCATCTCTACTGACTTATGTTTTTATGGATTTTACATGGTACTGAATCCTTGAATACATGATAGACTCTTGTTTTATGAATTTTACATAACAAGTTTTTAAAATAAAAAATAAAGGCCCTTCCCGTTAATCATCGATTTGCTCGAGTGGGCCCAGTAACGTCTCCATTGGAGACTTTGTTGTTACTGTGTCTGGCATATCCAATACGTCACGGGGAGCTTGCCAGGCTCTGCCGTGCGGGCGAGATACTCTCGGCAGCTTGCCGGGCTCTCTGAGAGGGGCGGAGGAATCAAACTCGGGTCCGCCACGTTGGCTGCGTGCAAGGTAAACGCCCTACCGCTGTGCTATCGCTCCAGCCCAACAAGTTTTTAGGTAAAATTTATCGTTGCAAGATTCTCAGATCAAACATTCAACCTACCTTCTCTCTGTGAGGCTCGTGACATGTGTTTCTCAGAAGACGAATTAGAATCATTATGATGACAAGGCGAAGCAGAGACTCTAGGACCAGATGAACTTGATGAAGTGGTCAGATCTTGAAAATACAAAACAGCCTGACAATAAACCCAGCAAAACTCTGGCAGTGTCTCTTATCCTCTTTTCACCGGGACCCCCAGGCTGCACCTGGCAGTGTTCAAGGGGTGACACAGGGACCTGGGACCCTGTGTATGCCTGGTGTTTGCTCTACCATCTGAGTCACATCTCCAATGTCTCTTCAGTTTTTATCTATTTGAACCATACTGTTATACTGTTAAAATGATGCACACGTGCTAAGTACTAGTTCCTCCCCCCCCCCGCCCCCCCCCGCACCCACACACTGGGTGAGGCTTAGGGCTTACTCCCGGCTCTGCCCTCAGGAATCACTCTTGGCGGTACACAGGGGACCATATCGCATGCCAGGGATGGTACCTGAGTCAGCTGTGTGCAAGGCAAGCACCTTATCTCCTACACTATCTCTCCAGCCCCAGTACTAGTCTCTTTCTAAAAGTTTTTACACTAGTGACTTGCTTAAGTGAAATCACAGTCACAGTCCTCCCGTTGTTCATCGATTTGCTCGAGTGGGCCCAGTAACGTCTCCATCATGAGACTTGTTGTTACTGTGTCTGGCATATCGAATACGTCACCGGGAGCTTGCCAGGCTCTGCCGTTCGGGCGAGATACTCTCGGTAGCTTGCTGGGCTCTCCGAGAGGGGCGGAGGAATTGAACTTGGGTCCGCCATGTTGGCTGCTTGTAAGGCGAGTGCCCTACCGCTGTGCTATCGCTCCAGCCCCTTAAGTGAAATAAAAATGAAAAAAGAAATCCAATAAATATAGAAGCACCTTTGGTTCCCATTCATGTCTCTGCTGAAATGGACCAAGAAATTTCAGTAGTGACTGTAAAGTGAGCTACTTCAGTTTACTTCCCAATATTAGAATAGGGTCCATACAATAGGCCCATTGCCAAGAACATGAACAGTAACATCCTTCTGAAAGTGTATAAAAAACATTTACTGTCATTCTTGAAGCTAGGTAGATGCTACCTTTGAAATGCAATACAAAGGACAACATGAGCCCTGGCATTCTGGAGTTTGGTTGTTTTTTTTTTTTTTTTTTTGCTTTTTGGGTCACACCCGGCAATGCTCAGGGGTTACTACTGGCTCGTGCTCTCAGGAATTACTCCTGGCGGTGCTTGGGGGACCATATGGGATGCTGAGAATCGAACCTGGGTCAGCTGCGTGCAAGTCAAATGCCCTACCTGCTGTGCTATAGCTCCAGCCCCCAATGTCTGAGTTTCTTTGGAAAATTACTTAATCAAAAATGCAAAACTTACCTGAACTTGATGTAGTTCTTCTTGCTCTCAAAATGGGATAGCTGCCAACTTCTAAAGACTTAGTTAAGTCAAGATCATGCAAAATCAAGAGATACCCAGAGGACGTTGAGATCAACATTTTGGAACAGTCTGGTGTTAATCTCATTCGCATGAGAAAACGAGTGTGAAAGAATTTCTTATGTGGACAACCATCTTCTGTACACCTGTAGGATGAATCAAGACAACAAAACCTCCAGTTATCATCACTATAAAGACTCACTGACAGTCATATTTTTGCCCTTCCGACTAGAATTTACAGACCTATAAGCTTGGTTAACCTTATTTTCACCCTTGCTCACCATTTCTACTTACTTTTTAAAATATTATTTTCTTCCTGAGTATTTTTTCTTCTTTTGAGGTGCCGGGATCAAACCCAAGACTTCACACACTCAAGGCATGCACTCTTATTACTGAACTACATCCCAGACCCCCTTTCAAAATATTTTTTAAAGTAGGATTTTAGTTAATTTGCTTTCTATTGTTTTGAAAACCTTTACTTTTACTTCACTATTCCTTTCGACTAAAGGTTTAGTTGAGCATATAACCTTAAGTTGATAGATATTTTTTTCTGAATATAGAAGATTCAATAAGTTCTGCTTTCGCTGTTCCTATTTTAAGGTCTGCTTTTAAACTAATAGTTACTTTGGATAATTTATTACTTTATCTTTTGTTGGTCCTGTTGTCTTTGGAGTCTGTAGGTTCAAGGTTCACTCATTTATATAAATTTTGATTTCTTTCAATTTACAGACAAAAATTAACTTTCTGAATGTTAATATTCACATTATTCATATATTCTAGAAAAATGTGTCATCATTATTCTAATATTGTTTCTCTTACCTATTTATCTTTGAGCAGTAAGTAGATATTTAAGACCTTTGGACTGTACAGGTACAGATACAGGTACAGGTACAGATGGACTATAAAGATACTAGAACAGGAGGAAAGATGCTTGCTTTGCATGCGACTGACTCTAATTTGAATCTCTAGCACCTCATTATGGCCCTCTGAGCACTGCCAGGAGTCACTCCTGAGCACAGGAATAGTCTCTGAGCTATGAATAAATAAATAAGGCCTTTGATTTTCTTAACCTTCTAAGTGTTCTTTCATGTTTTCAACCTCATTTCCATATATTGCATTCTGGGTAATTTTTCAATTTTTATTTTACAGCCTATTTTTCAAAGTTGCTTTTAATCTACTCTAGGCCATCTATTTTTTAAAAAAATTCTCTATGTTTAATCTTACTTAAAATATACCTTCAGCGGTAGGGCGTCTGCCTTGCACGCAGCCAACATGGCCGACCCGAGTTCGATTCCTCCGCCCCTCTCGGAGAGCCCGGCAAGCTACGAGAGTATTGGATATGCCAGACACAGTAACAACAAAGTCTCCAATGGAGACGTTACTGGGCCCGCTCGAGCAAATCGATGATCAACGGGAGGGCCTTTGCATGCAACCTTTGCATGCAAAAAATTTACTGTTACCTCTAACTCATACTTGGAGTTAGAGGTAAAATCTTCTTGGTGGGTCTTTTGCATATTTTTATTCCTTTTTTTTATGTTTACCCCATTCATTTGTCTATTGTTATTTCTACCAACTTCTCTTTATTTTATTTTTGATGGTGCCAGGAACCCAACTCAGGGAGTCATGCATGGTGTGTGGCAGACAGTCTACCACTGAACAAACTCTCTGACCCACTGTGGTCTATTTTTTTTTACTCTTTTTTGGGGGTCACACCCAGTGATAAACAGGGGTTCCTCCTGGCTCGTGCACTCAGGAATTACTCCTGGTGGTGCTCAGGGGACCAGATGGGATGCTGAGAATCGAACCCGGGTTGGCCGCGTGCAAGGCTAATGCCCTACCTGCTGCTATTGCTCCAGCCCCTCTGTTGTCTATTTTTAAAATTTCAAACTGTGTGGTTGGACAGAGTATAAAGTGAGTAGGGCACTTGCCTTGCATGTGGGTGGCCTGGGTTTGATCCCCAGCACCATATATGGTCCTCTGAGCCCACCAGGAGTGATCCCTGAGCACAAACCCAGAGTAACCCTTGAGCACTGCTTGGTTACTGCCCCAAAACAAAAACAAATAAAGTTGTAAATTGCATCACATCTACAAAAGACAACATAATTAAAACATAGGTAGAGTTAAAAGAGAGGCCTAATAGCATAACAGGTAGGGTGTTTGCTTGGTAGGCAGCTGACCCAAGTTCTATCCCCAACACCTCATATGATCCCTCGAATCTCACAAGAAGGATCACTTTTATTTGGAATACCTGAATAGACCTATCACCATCAACAAAATTAAAATGGTAATCAAAAGTCTTCCCAAAAACAAAAGCCCAGGTCCAAATGAATTCACTAGTGAATTCTTCCAAACCTTAGAAAAGGACCTACTTCCAGTCCTTTTCAAGCTGTTCAGGAAATTGATGAAACAGAATACTCCCGAACAGATTTATGAGGTACATATCATCTTGATACCAAAAGCAGACAGAGAAACCACACAAAAAAGGAAATTTACAGGTTGATACCCCTACTGAACACAGATGCAAAGATCATCAACAAAATATTAGCAAATAGAATTCAATGACTCATCAAAAAGATCATAAACCAGGGGCTGAAGCAATAGTACAGAAGGTAAGGCATTTGCCTTGCATGCAGCTGACCCAGGTTCGATCCCCAGAATCCCATATGGTCCCCTGAGCACTGTTAGGAGTAACCCCTGAGTGCTGCTGGGTGTGTCCAAAAAAGAAAAAAAATCATACACCATGATCAAGTGGTATTCATCCCAGGGATGCAAGGATGGTTTAACATTTGCAATTCAATCAACATAATTCATCATATAAAAAAAGAAAGATTAAAAAACATATAATATCAATAGATGTAGAAAAAGCATTTGACAAGATCCAGCACCCGTTTATGATAAAAATTCTCAACAAAATGAGAATTGAAGGAGCTTTCTTCAATATATTCAAAGCCATCTACCACAAGCCCACAGTAAGCATTATTCTGGACGGGGAAAAACTAAAAGCCTTCCCTCTAAGATCAGGGACAAGACAAGGATGCCCACTCTCACCACTTCTATTCATGTCATAGCAGAAATGTATTAAGGACATCCTTATAAGAAAGGAAGTCAAGCTCTCACTATTTGCAGATGACATGATACTATACTTAGAGAACCAAGAAGCTCCTAGAAACAATAGATTTATTTAGTAAAATGGTAGATTACATCATCATTATTACTGGTATTTGGCATATTGGGTACACCACGGGGAGTTTGCCAGACTGCCGTGTGGGTAGGCTACATTCGGTAGCCTGCCAGTTTGTCCAATGATGGGTCTCATTCTCCTAAAGAGCCTTGAATATAATCTCAGGGCTAGGATGAAGGAGACATTACTGGGGCCTGCTCGAGGCAATCGACGAATAACAGGATGATTTGTGATTTTTTGGTAGATTACAAAATCAATACCCAAAGTCCATGGCTTTCTTATATGTAAATAATGGAAGAGAAGAAAGCAATATTAAAAAAAAATCCTGTTCACAGCCATGGCTCAGAAAATAAAATACCTTGGAATCAGCTTAACTAAGGAGGTAAAGGACCTGTACAAAGAAAACTACAAAACGCTGCTTCAAGAAATAAAAGAAGACATAAGGAAATGGAGACTCATCCCCTGCTCATAGATCAGGAGGATTAACATTGTCAAAATGGCAATACTCCCCAAAGCATTATACAGATTCAATGCAGTTCCTATAAAGATACCCATGACATATTTCAAAGAAATTAATCAAACACTCCTGAAATTGATATGGAACAATAACCCCCCACGAATGGCTAAAGCAATTCTTGGAGAAAAGGAGTGGGAGGCATCGTCTTCCCCAACTTCAAATTGCATTAGAAAGTAATTAAAACAGCATGGTGTTAGAATACAGACAGACCCGCAGACCACTGGAACAGGGATTGAATATCCTGACACACTCAAATATATGATCATTTAACCTTTAAAAAGAGAGCAGAACTATAAAGCAAGGAAAGCCTCCTTAACAAATGATGCTGGCAAAACTGGACAGCTACATGTAAAAAAATGGACTCACACTGCTATCTAATGCCATGCACAAAAGTCAGATCAAAATGGGTTACAGACCTCAACATCAGAGCCGAATCCATAAGGTAGCACTGTCATCCTGTTCATCGATTTGCTCGAGCAGGCACCAGTAACATCTCCATTGTGAGACTTGTTGTTAGTTTTTGGCATATCGAATATGCCACGGGGAGCTTGCCAGGCTCTGCTGTGCAGAAGAATACTCTCGGTAGCTTGCCAGGCTCTCCGAGAGGGATGGAGGAATCAAACTCTGGTCAGCCGTGTGCAAGGGAAACGCCCTAGCCACTGTGTGGAAGAAAATGTAGGCAAAACCCTCTACCACACTGAAGCTAAAGGCATCTTCAAAGATGAAACGTCAGTGACGAAACAAGTGGAAGTAAAGGGAAACAAATGGGACTACATTAAACTAAGAAGCTTCTGCACTTCAAAAGAAACAGTGATGTGGGGCTGGAGTGATAGCACAGTGGATAGGGAGTTTGCCTTGCACACGGCCAACCCGGGTTCGATTCCCAGCATCCCCTGAGCACCGGCAGGAGTAATTCCTTAGTGCAGAGCCAGGAGTAACCTGTGTACATTGCCAGGTGTGACCCAAAAAGAAAAAAAAAACAGTAACAGGGATACAAAGACAGCCTATGGAATATTCACCTAACAGCCTTCTGATAAGGAGTTAATATTAAAGATATATCAGGCACTGGTTGAACTCTACAAGAAAAAAAAAACATCCAACTCCATCAAAAAGTGGAGCAAAGAACTGAACAGAAGTTTTATCAAAGAAATAGAATGGCCAAAAGACACACGAAAAAATGCTCTTCATCACTAATCATCAGGGAGATGCAAATCAAAACAACACCACAGAAACTGGCACACATCGGAAGGAACAAGAGAAACCAGTGCTGGTGTGGATGCGGAAAGAAAGGGACTCTCCTGTATTGTTGGTGGAAATTCCGACTGGTCCAGCTTTTTTGGAAAACAATATTCCTCAAAAAACTAGAAATTGAGCTCCCATTTGCCCCAGCAATACCACTTTTTTTTTTAAATTTTACTGAATCACCATGAGATAGTTACAAGCTTTCA